TTTGCCAGAGAGATGAAGTCAGAGGGAAAAATGAGAAATCACCTCCCAGGGGGAATGGCCGCACCACAATCCCTTATTCATTCTCCTCCTGGGATTTTGGGCTTGCTTACAAGCATGCCTAGTGTGATTTTCAAGCTGCCAGGCCTGGGAGTTGAACCACTGTTGGCCATGTGGGAGTTCAGCACCGTCACGACTATGCCACTTGCTGGCCCTGTCAAATGGCCTCAATGATGCAGCCAAACCTAATGTCCAGTCAAAGCCTTGCTCCTGGTAGGCCCACATTTCCTACTGACCACCAAACACCTCCACCTGTGTAGGTGATAGAACATTCCTGTCAAAGTGGTCCAATTTTAACACCATCATCTACAGCTTTTGTCAGCTCTACCCCTAATGCAAATAACAACCAACTCCTCCATCTTCATCCTCCTCTAAGCTAAAGTGAACATCTTCTACCTAGACAGCTAGCCTTCGGCACTTAGAATAGACTGCCTCCATCTTTCACACAGAACCTTACTTCCGAAATTCTCTCACATTTGTTTCCTCCTCACCACCCATATCCTGAATTAAGCAATTTGTCATTTTTTTGGTTTGGTTTGGTTAATTCATTGCTCTTTCTCAGCATGTGTTCAGTAACGGTTGCTAGATGAAAGAGAGGGGAGGAAGGAAAGATGGCAGGAAGGAAGGAAAGAGGGAAGGAACAAATGAGTGAATGAACGAAGGGAGCAAGGGTCAAAGTACCAGAGGATCACATTTGCTGATTCAAAGTGTGGAGCATGCTCCTCATTTGAGCTCCACCTGGGTCTTCTGCCTCCATCGAGAAATCAACAATTCAGTTGATTGTTTCCACTTAACTCTAGAATTCCCACGGGCCACAAGAGTATCACCATGGATGTGAACCAAAAATCATGTTTCACCTCCTAGGGGACTTGAGAGCTTTTAGAAATTCAAGCCTCTGCTGATGTTTGCTGCACAGTGATTTCCATGGTGTTTCTCTATCACTTAAAGGGAGGTTTTGGGTTTTGACCACCTAGGTACGTTTATTTTTCTATGTATTCACTAGCCGGTTTCAAATTGGACATCCCATTAAAATCATAAAACGTCAAGGTAATTAAAAAACCTGCCCTTAAACTTCAGAGTTATATCCAGGGAGCTAGTAGACCAAATCAGTCTCTACTCACCAGCTCATTTGGAAAACAGGATTTGTTGAAGATGTCCAGGGAAATGATCAGGTATCACTGTTCAACATCAACCTTTATACTGAAAAGGCTTTTGTTATAAGGGGAATTCCTGGGTAGCAGATGGGACAGCCAATGTACTTCCACAGGGAGTAGGAATACCCTGAGTCATGGGGTGAACAAATGATTCCAGGCTGTTCCACATGGAACAGGGCACAACCTTCAGAAGAGGCCAGGGGTACAATTAGGCAGCAGGTCAGTCTCCAGAGTTGGACAGGAGGGCACACAGGGGGCATAGGGGAGCACTGCAATGTTGGAAAGTGCTGTCTCTATACAGAAATGCCCACACCTGGGCAGAGTCAGCTATCAAGGAACCCTGGGGATTAGGAAAGGAGGTCCCTAGGTTAATAAGGCACACAAATGAGCCCTGATTGTATTTGATCCTCATTGTCACATTCTTTAAGTCTGCTTATAGTGCCTTGGCAACAGGATTCCTTTTGTCCCAAGTGGTGAGCCTTCAACTGATCTAATAAACAACACCCCAAAAGCACAGAAAAACAAAACGGAAACAGGAAATCGCGCGGTGCGCATTGTGCACCGCGTGCTACTCAAATTACCAATATTCAAACAGTCCAAAGGCTAGTGGAAAAAGATCAGATGATGAGTGACAGTACCAGGTCGGTTGGGTCTGCAGCCTCAGTCCGCCTCGTGTCCGGAACTGCTGGCCGGCTCGATCCGGATCGCGGGTGGGGTGAGGTGGGGGTTCACCTTAAACTCCCAGGCAACCAACCTGGGGTCCAAGGAGGAAGAACGGTGGGGATGCGTGGAGATTCGGAAGGGTCGGGCCTGCAGCCTCAGTCCGCCTGGTGTCCAGAACTGCTCTATATTACGACCCCAAGATGTTTCTTGAGGTCCATCAGATGTGTCTTTTGGAATGCCCCTAGTAATTTCTACCCTTGCTCTGTCTGCAGCCAAGGTCAGGGAAAGACAAGTTACAAGGTTCTGCCAAACCCCAAAAGAGCAGGTAGTGTTTGCTCAGAGCATGTCCCCACACCTCAGATTCTCTCTCTTAAACGTGTCCCCACAGTACAGAGTCAATCATATCACATAGTGGAATGCACTGTGGAGCCACAAACACATTTGCTCATCACAAACACTCAGTCACTCAGAGGTTATACATTTCCTCCCCACACTAACCGATTATCAGATGAGCCCTGACTGTCAGTCCTGTGATTGAAGGAGAGTGTGTTGCTCATACTTCTTGAGCCTCTTCAATTGTTCCTAGTCATCAGGTGATCTATATGTTGCCTCCTAACTTACTTAAGGTATCTCTGAATGTTTAAAGGTGTACAGGATTAGAAAATTGATGATTTCTCTTATGGTTGGCCTACCTGTTGCTCACCAGTACCATGTACCATTGTCACTGGTCCTGGGTGACCCAAAGTCCTCCCTGATTCTAAGGAGTGGTTAGCCTCCAACTGACATAATAAGCAACACCTCAAGAGCAAAGAAAAACAAAACAAAACAAAAAAAATCACGCAGCATGCAACACGTGCCATGCACTATTCGAAACACTAAAATTCAGAGAGTGCAAAGGCAAGTGGGGAAGGGCCAGAGGATGAGCAACAGGTCCCAGGCAGAAGGGCCTGCAGCCACAGGCAGCCTGGTGTCCAGAACTGCTGCCCTGCTCAATCCAGTTTGCAGATGGGGTAGAGGGGGTGTGAGTTCGTCTTAAAGTCCCACAGAACCAACCTGAAGTCCAGAGAGGACTATGGGTGGGGATGCGCAAAGGTCCTGGGTGGAAGGGCCTGCAGCCCCAGTCAGCCTGGTGTCTGGAACTCGCAATGTAGAATATTTATGTGCCTACAAAGGAGAGGAAGGCAGATGTGCATGAGGCCTTGTAGTTTCTCCTACACACTTTTATGTAGTAGGTGCTCAATAAAGAGCAATTCCTGTACTTCATTATGATAATAGCCATCTTCATCTCTTGGAGGAGTTTCTGGTAAGGCCGAATTTGCCTTAAATCTTCTTTTTGAAGTGCCTACTATGTGTTAGGTGCTTTCAAATACAGGACTACATGTAATTTTCTGAGAATCTTGTGAATCACAACAGTGGGGTTTTGTCTTCTTAACATGATGGCACTTTTCTGCAGTAACCTTTGCAATGTTGTCTGTAATGTCAGTAGACTGAGAATTTCTCCCTCTTTTTGATGCATTTTCAACATCTTTTCCCTGCTACTGTCGACATGACTAGACAAGTCCAAACACTACTACAGATGACATTAGGCAGACTAAAAACGAGGCTTTTCCTGTAGAATAGGTACACAGAGAAAAGCATTATAAGGATGGTTATTATCACTTCACCTCCTAGGGGACTTGAGAGCTTTTAGGAATTCAGCCTCTGCAGGTGTTTGCTGCACAGTGATTTCCATGGTGTTTCTCTACCACTTAAAGGGAGACTTTGGGTTTTGACCACCTAGGTACGTTTGCTTTTCTATGTATTCACTAGCCGGTTTCAAATTGGACATCCCATTAAAATAGTAAAACATCAGGGTGGATTCAAAAACCTGTCCTCAAGTTTCAGAGTTATATCCAGAGAACTAGTGGACCAAATCAGTCTACTCACCAGCTCATTTGGAAAACAGAGTTTGTCGAAGATGTCCAGGGAAATGACCAGATATCACTGTCCAACATCCACCTTTATACTGCAAAGGCTGTTGCTTTAACAATTATTCCCAGGAAGCAGTACTTCCACAGGGAGTAGGAATATCCTGAATCATGGGGTGAACAAGTGGTTCTAGGCACAACCTTCAGAGAGCCTGGGGAGACAAGCTGGGCAGCAGGCCAGTCTCCAGAGTTTGACAGGAGGGCACATGGGGGGCATGGGCTGGGGGGACACTGCAATGTTGGAAAGTGCTGTCTCTAGACAGAAATGCCCACACCTGGGCAGAGTCAGCTATCAAGGAACCCTGGGGATTAGAAAAGGAGGTCCCTAGGTTAATAAGGCACACAGATGAGCCCTGATTGTGTTTGATCCTCATTGTCACCTTCTTTAAGTCTGCTTATAGTGCCTTGATGACAGGATTCCTTTTGTCCTGAGAAACGCTATGAAGTCCTAGAAGAGAAATGAAGTGTACAGTAGAAAGTTGGCCAAAGGCTGGGAGGAGTGGGAACACCACGGGCTGCACATGAATTCAGACCAGAGCTCCCGTTCCAGCCCTGTCACTTCCTAACCATGCAATCTGAGGAAATGGAAGCAGGTTGGATGAGCCCTGTCAGGTAGGACTGCTGGGATGCACATAATGTCTGCAAAGCACCTGACACCGTGCCTGGCCCACCTTGGAACTTGGGAATGGCAGCAGTCTCTAGCATTGCTCTGACCCAGACCTTTCCACCCTCCACTCTGGTATCATGGTTCTCGTTTTACAGCACGTCTCAGAATGTGCGGCTCAAGAGGACATGGAATACCCAGTTGGCCAAAACGCAACTTAATAAATATGACTCAACGCATTTTCCTCTATAGAGGATGTACTTTTCCACCTGGTTGTGAAGGGGTTTCCCCAGCTTGATGAAGCACAGAACTCTTAGTACTTGAGTCAAGACCAACACCTTCTTTCCCTCCCAGCTGCTTTTCCATCTAAACCACTCTTTTCATTTAATTCACCCCCATCTAAAATTTAGCCCTCACTTAGAATTGTCCAAATCCTACTAAAGGCAACTTAAATAAAATGTTCTTCTCCTGAAGGCTGCTCTGAGCCTTGCAGGTTAGGAAAAGAAAGTCTCTAGATGTTCTGGGCCACACTTTGTGAGAGATCCCCTCTACTCTCTAGGAAAATCCTTGCAGATGATGGAATGATGGACAGATAGCACCAGTTCCAGCACTGTGTGCAGCTGCATTGAGAAAACTGGATAACACCTTCCATACCTGCTGTAGGTTCAGATTTCTCCCAACTTTATCCACCATGCAGGAGGAAGCATCCAGAGCAGGTATCCAGGCTTTCCCATGCTTTTCTCTCAGCCCTAAGACACAGCAGCTGAGAATTTGGTTCTAGTCATCACCCATACTCCTTATAGGTCCCACTACTAACACAGGCTTTCAGAGGGCAAATGATCAATGAACGTTTGAGAAGGAAATGAACCAGGGAGCAGAAATTTCACTCAGAACAATTTAATTTCCACTTGAATAAGTTAACAAGACCTGGGTAAATATCATTTAATTTTACAGAAAGAATAAAAATGACAAGGGGGCTGGCAAGTGTCATAGTGGTTAAGCTGCTAGTCTCCTACATGGTAGACATGGTTCGAGTCCTGGACCTGGAGGCTTGCTTTCTCATTTCCGCTCTCTTTCTCTCTCTGGTCAAATGGAAGAACAATAAATGAATAAAATTAAATAATTACAAAAAAAGAATAAAAATGACAAGAAAAAATTTAAAATAACACTTTTTTTCTGTTTCACTGATAAGTCCCTTTACATTCCATGAAGACATTTAAATTCTAATGGCTCATTTTCTTGTTACAAATTACAAGTAAACTGGAAGATTTCTCTTAAACTGGGTAATATGTGACTATGTCATCTGTAAACTTAGGTTCTGAAGTTAGTAAAAGTAACATTTTAAATGCCAAAAAGAAAAGAAGTAAACCCCCATCATCCAAATAGAAGAATAAAATATGTTATAGCCTATATATACTCCCCCCCACCCCGGCCCAGCCAGGCTCTCCCCTCCTTAAATTACTGGCTTTCCCCTTAAACCACACAGTGGAGGAATTGCCTTCCGCTACC